GTCGTCTTCTCACAGTGGAAGGATGGACAGAAACACCTGTGGATGTTTTCAGATCTGAAGCAGCTTGATTTTCTCCTCTCTCTCAAAGATGAAAGCTTTAAGTGCTGTTTATCTGATGGGGACAGTGTTGGTGTCTACCAGGTCTTGTTCTGTTGTTATGAGTCCCATTTTCTCTGTATCTTTAGTAGTTTTTTAACTCGTTTGTTTTTTTCGTTTCACTTATCTTACCCTTCCTTGTGCAAGTGGATTATCTTCTATCTAATATTCTCAGAATTATCTCCTGAAAAATTAATAATGACTGAAATTTTTTGAGGTTTGTGCTGTAAGTTTTCCATGATACGGGTCCTTTAAATAGATCATTTCATATATATGACACCTATATTATATAATTTGTATATCTGACTCATATATTAACATTATCTAATAAATCATACATCAAAGTACTTTTTACTACATAAAGGATCCTGAACTCAGTCCTTGGTGCTGCATGCACTGGATACTTTGTGCATATTTCCATCTTTCACAGTTGATTATACACAGTTAATTGAGGAGCACTGCAGTCTTTAATATAGTTTTTTCCCCCTGAACTTTACAGACTTGCAAATTTTGCTGCTCAAAAAAAAACAAACCCTTCCCTTTTTCCTTTGCTTGTCTGGGGTCTTCAGATCAGTGATCTTGCAGGGCACTCGGGTTTGGTCATTTGGTCATTTGGTCATCTTTGGTGCTTCTATTTCACGCTGTTTGGCCCCCAGGCAGGGCTGGCATAACAGATGAGCGCGTCTGAGCCCAGCAGGTGTCAGGTGACAACACTGCGGTCAATGGCCAAGCACCGCAGTAAGACGAGACGCAGTGTGTGCGCTTTAAGATCGAACCAAAACAAATCTGGTGTTGAGAAACACAGATCATCCTCAGGTTTTGCTGCAGAGGAGATGACACGGGTTTTTGTGTTCGTTCCACTGCTAAAGACATTTAAAAGTTCTTCTGCCAGAGTTTAACTAAAGAGCCCAGAAACAAAGCATATTCATCCTTAAAGAACGCAGACTTTTAGAGTAACATCTGTTCTGGCCCTGTTTATATGTGCAACCATTCAAAACAGAGGAGTTCTTAATTATCTATGGAGAATGTTCAGTGTACACACGTTACTCCAGTGGGGATCCCTCTGGGCCTAATAATTTCTGAGAAATTAAAAAAAATGTGCCTGTATTTTTTTTTTTTTTGTTCATCTTTATTTAATAGAGTCATCATACTTGTTGTGTTTAGACTCTGCAAGCATTGTAATATTCTTATTTCATGATTTAAGTTTTGGTCAAAAACAAAAGGGTTAAATTTCTGAAACGCATTGGAAAATCATCCAGTCAGGATGTTTTTTTGTTTTTTTCTCTGTGATATTTAGGTAGGTGCAGCCAACCAAGCTCTCCCATTGGTTTGGACTTCAGGAGCTGAACTGAAGGCCTAACATGTCAGTTTAACCACTAACATAATTAAGAACAATGGATTCAACCAATCACATTTTGATTTACAATGTGTGAGGAACACAATATCTTGTGTGGTGTTGATGTGTTTGTTACTCAGTGGTCTGGTGGACCCACCGCATTTTTGTTTTTTAAATCAATACAGCCATAACAATTTATGTAAAAATACCAGATATTTAATATATCACAAATCTCCAGCGTAGGGTTCTCCTTTAGCAGCTGTAGCCAGTCAGCATCCTGTCCATGTTGTCCACCCTCACACACACATACATATACAAACACATACACACACACTAACAGCAGGCCATGTAGGAGGAGAACAGAGTGAAGGACACAGCACCTCCACACTTTTATTCCCTGCTGGTTCACCCAACACCACGTGTAATATAAATGTGGGGGATGAACAGAGTGAAGACACTGAACGTGTTATTTTACATGTTCTTTACAGAAAATGAGCAAAGGACAAGAAATCTGGGGTTAAAATAATAATAAATCGTATAATTTTTTCTTTTAGTAAACATTGAAAATGGGTCCCACAGACCTGAACACAGTACACAGATCACAGACAGTATGTATGTATGTATGTATGTATACACTGCACTATGCTATATTTATATGTTTGTGTTTATTCCAGTCATGCTAGCTGTTTAACCCCTTAAAATCCCAGGCGTATTACATACTAAGGCTTATTATTCAGCAACTACAGGACTTCAGTGCAAACTGGCTGAGCTGTTCTTAGGTTATAGAAGTGTGTAATAAAACTTTGGGCCTGCCGGTGATCCCTGGCCATGTAAGGGGTTAAGTGGTAAAAACATTCTTTACAGGTAGAAAATATATGAAAATATTGGTTCCAAAATGCTTTAAAATGTATTTTCATTTTCAGAAGTGTGTTCTCTGTGGAGAACTTATTTTCGCTAAGAAAATGAACAAAAGGTGCCTTTTGACCTGAACCTTTTTGCTTTTAGGCTTTTGAATAGTAGAACTGTGTTCCACAGATGCTTTCCTGAATATTCCTTATGGTGTCTTATATGTGTGGAGCTGGACTGACGAGTAGCTGCCAGAATCATGCACGTCCTGTGGAACTGGGCACAAGCATCGCATGTTTAATAATTCGTTCCACACCAGCAGCCAAATTCAGACACTCTTTCAAATACAGCGCCAGCGCAGCTCAAGAATGTTCCTGATGCATTCCTGGCATTAAATCTACACCCGGACTGAGCAGGAGAGTGTTGGCTTTGGATCTCACTCAAACTTAACTTTATTATATATTTATATATTTTTCATAATACACAGTAAGTCAGGAGTTTTTACATCTATTAAATGGACAAAATAAATCAGTCGTGGCACATTTAAAAATAAATATACACCGATTAGGCATAACATTCTGACCACCTCCTTGTTTCTACGCTATTGTCCATTTTATCAGCTCCACTTACTATATAGGTGCACTTTGTAGTTCTACAGTTACAGACTGTAGTCCATCTGTTTCTCTGCATACTTTGTTAGCCCCCTTTTACCCTGTTCTTCAGTGGTCAGGACCCCCATGGACCCTCACAGAGCAGGTACTATTTGGGTGGTGGATCATTCTCAGCACTGCAGTAACACTGATGTGGTGTGTTAGTGTGTGTTGCGCTGGTCTGAGTGGATCAGACACAGCAGTGCTGCTGGAGTTTTTAAACACCTCAGTGTCACTGCTGGACTGAGAATAGTCCACCAACCAAAAATATCCAGTCAACAGCGTCCTGTGACCACTGATGAAGGACTAGAGGATGACAAACACAAACTGTGCAGCAGATGAGCTATCGTCTCTGACTTTACATCTACAAGGTGAACTGACAAGGTAGGAGTGTCTCATAGAGTGGACAGTGAGTGGACACAGTGTTTAAAAACTCCAGCAGCACTGCTGTGTCTGATCCACTCGTACCAGCACAACACACACTAACACACCACCACCACGTCAGTGTTACTGCAGCGCTGAGAATGATCCACCACCCAAATAGTACCTGCTCTGTGAGGGTCCATGGGGGTCCTGACCACTGAAGAACAGGGTAAAAGGGGGCTAACAAAGTATGCAGAGAAACAGATGGACTACAGTCTGTAACTGTAGAACTACAAAGTGCTCCTATATAGTAAGTGGAGCTGATAAAATGGACAATGAGCGTAGAAACAAGGAGTGGTCATAATGTTATGCCTGATCTGTGTACATATACAGTGATGTTTATTCGACGTTTTAGCCAATTAAAACAGGACTAAATGTGTTCTCTTTCTAATGAAACATGCAGTTGGTCAGTGCTCTGTAAGTACTGACAATGTCCACAGTAAACTCAGAAAAGTGTATTGTAACATATTGTGGCACAATTAGTCACAATAACAATAAATATTGTCATAAGGTCCGACCTCCTCAGACCGTTAATCTCAAAACACCTTCAACTTCACCTCAGGTCTCAGACACCCAGTCAGGAGTGCACTGAGGTGACGTAATGATTAAAACATCAATCTCTGAAATGTGTCGTGATCCTCAGAGGCCGTGAGCTCCAGGCGTTTGTTCTGTGGCAGGTCTATTGTTTGTTTGAATGTGATGGACTGTTTGTGTCCAGAGGGAGTTTCTTTAATAAACGTCCACAGAGATCATTTATTACTGAGCCTCCAAAATCACTCAGTAATCAGAGCTGCTTTACTTATTTTCACTGCCTCACATTTAATATTATAGCTCCCTTAGGACGCGACCTCTGACCCCCAAGGGACACGGGTTTGGGCTTTTCTCCAGACATGTGGATGAACAGTTACAGTGTTAAAATGATGATTCATTCTCTCTCTCTCTCTCTCTCTCTCCCTCTATATTCATTTCTTTCTTTCTCTCACTCTCTCTTTCTTCTTTTCTTTCTCTCACTCTCTCTCTCCCTCTATATTTCTTTTTCTTTCTCTCTCTCTCTCTCTCTCTCTCTGTTTCTTTCTTTCTTTCTTTCTCGCCCTCTCTCTTACTCTGCCTCTATATTTCTTTCTTTCTTGCTCCCTCTTGCTCACTCTTTTTCTTTCTCTGCAGTTTTTTTATTTTTTCTTTATTTTTCTTTCTCTCTTTCCCTTTCTTTTTTCTTTTTCTTTCTCTCACCGTTTCTCTTGCTCTCTCTCTCTTTCTTTCCCTCTATATGTGTCTTTCTTTCTTTATTTCTTGCCCTCTCTCTTGCTCTCACTCTTTCTCTCTCACTTTCCTTCTCTGCAACTTTCTTTAATTTCTCTTTATTTTTCTTTCTCTCTCTTTCTTTCTTTCTTTTTCTTTTTTCTTTCTCTCCCTTTCTTTCTTTCTTTCTTTCTTTCTTTCTCTCCATCCCACACACTGTTATCTCTCTGCTTCCATAGATGTATTGAAACACATTGTTTTGTTGTTTTTTCTCAGAACAGTGTACAGTCTATATTATATTTCTAAGATGTTTTATTTCTCCTACAGAACCTGAGTAACCTGCTGTTTAAACTGCTCCTCTGGCTGTAGTGAGTGTGTGCTGAGAGCTGGTGTGTTGTGTCTGTCGGCAGGTTGCGGGGAAGCAGTTCTCCCTCTGGGACGAGTTTCTGGTGCGGGGTAGAGAAGACGGCCGAGAGGAAATGACAGTGGAGGAGCTGCTGAAACACATCAAGGTTAAACCAAAACCTCCAGCTACCCCCCAAACCCGTCCATTCATACTGAATATCACACCCCAAAGCCCACTCCGCTCATTAGACAGATGCTATCATAGCCTGTTTCCTTCCTCTCTCTACTTCCCTCTATCAACACTTGGATTTTGAGGACCCCCAACTTCCCCAGTGACCCTCATCTTCCTCCTCAGCTATGCTGATACCTTTAAACACACCTTACATTCATTTTAATGCAGTGTGTACAGGCAAGACATGGGGTCACATATATCACATATGTATTTGTAATATATTATAGACTATATGGACAAAAGTATTGGGACACCTACACATTACACCTACAGGAGCTTACGACATCCCATTCTAAATCCATAGGCATTAATATGGAGTTGTTCCCCCCTTTCCAGCTATAACAGCTTCCACTTTTCTGGTGAAGGTTTCTACAAGATTTTGGAGAGTGTCTGTGGGAATTCTTGCCCAATTATCCAGAAACGCATTTGTGAGGTCAGACACTGATGTTGGACGAGAGGGCCTGGCTTGCAATCTCCGTTCTAGTTCATCCCAAAGGTGTTCAATGGGGTTGAGGTCAGGGCTCTGTGTGGGCCAGTCAAGTTCTTCCACACAAAACTCACCCAGCCATGACTTTATGGAGCTGCTTTGTGCACTCAGGCTCAGTCATGCTGGAACAGAAAAGGTTCTTCCCCAAACTGTTGCCACAAAGGTGGAAGCATACAATTGTCCAAAATGTCTTGGTCTGCTGAAGCATTAAGGTTTACATTTACTGGAACTAAGGGGCCGAGGCCAACCCCTGAAAAACGGCCCACAGCATCATCCCTCCTCCACCAAACTTTACAGTTGGTACAGTGAAGTCAGGCAGGTAACGCTCTCCTGGCATTTGCCAAACCCAGACTCATCCATCAGACTGCCAGATAGGGAAGTGTGATTCGTCACTGCATAGAATACGTTTGCATGCAACTGCTCGGCCATGGAAACCATGCCATGAAGTTCCCGGCGCGCAGTTTTTGTGCTGATGTTAAAGCCAGAGGAAGCTTGAACTCTGCAGTTATTGACCAGCAGAGCATTGGGGACCTTTATGCACTACGCTCCTCAGCACTCAGTGACCCGCCCTGTAACTTTACGTTGTCTGACACTTCATGGCTGAGTTGCTGTGGTTCCTAAACACTTCCACTTTTCAATAATACCACTCACAGCTGACTGTGGTCTGTGGAAGAAATTTCACAAACTGACTGCAGCTTGTAATCCTATTACAGCACCACACTCGAATTCAGTGAGCTCTTTAGAACGACCCATTCTTACGACCCATTCACTAATGTGTGTAAAGGCAGACTGCATGGCTAGATGCTTGATTGTATATACCTGTAGCAATGAGACTGAATAAAACACCTGAATTCAATGATTAAGTGGTGTGTCTCAATACGTATAGATACACACACACACACACACACACACACACACACACACACACACACACACACACACACACATAAATTAAACATGGAGCTTTTTTCTCTCGTTTTCTTCCATAGTCAGTATGTTTTTATTCTAAAACTGAATTGCTTCAAATAGCAGTTTAAATCAACATGTGGCAGCTATTATGTTAAAATACAGATTTTAAAGTCATTCAGTCATTGTTATTTCAGCAGGGGTCACATGTAATATGCAAATGATCAAACATGATTCTGTTGAAGGATCTGTAAGTGTTGTGTGATTTGAATTCCAGGACCACCATAGCCTGACAGTCACTGGTCTGTACTATGGGCCTGCAGTGCTGTACGCTGATTACTGTGATCATGCAGATCGACTCAAACAGAGGTGAGTTTTTCCATGAATTCTGCAAGCCAGTCTGGATTATGGGGGTTTCGGAGGTCATAATTAAGTAACTGAGGTTGTAATCACACACCATAACGTTTGTGGTTGATGCAGGCCAGGAAACCATAATACAGTTTACAGTTTTTTTTTTGTAAATTTGACAAAGCACTCTGTAGTTCACATACTACAGAAATGTGGACCTGCTTTATTCAAATGACTGATCCTTTTTTTTGAGGAAGTGCAAAATCATGAATAGAAAAAGTATGAGCCACAGCTCACTGATTTGATTGGGCAGACGAAAAAAATGATTGTATCTGGTGCAAAGAGAAGTGCCTGTGCAGTTGTGCTGGAAGTGAAGTGAAAGTGGCCACTGGGCTGCATTTGAGGCTAATTGAAAACACATTTATCTTGCTTACTTTTGTTAATATGTATTAAAGGTGAATTCCACATTTTTATGTCTGTGTAATTAAATGGTTAAGATGTAGATGAAGTCATTCAGACTGGTTTGGTGTGCGATGCTCTGTTCTAGAGAAACTTACTGAGTCAGAATTGTTCACAGTGATGGTGATAGAAACCAGACTGTGCAGACTCTGCAATCCATCCCTGCTGAGTACGTATCAGTCAGAATCTGCCATAGCAACTTTACATCAGTGTACAGTTCCATTACGCCTCTTCTAGTTCCACGACACAGTAGTGACAGTCAGAGGTGCTCTATTTAAGAACAATGTACTGCAATGTGTTACTCATCCTCTCTTTCACATGTATTCACTGCCCATCAAAAGTTTATTGCTTTTCAAAATAATGTAATGGAAATTTTGTATGTTTTGTTTGTCAGTTTGCAATAACTTACATTAAAGACTGCACAGGTTTGGTTTGGGGGGGAAAGTCAGTACACATACCTTTCAGGTTAACCCTTGTGCGGTGTTGATGTGTTTGTTACTCAGTGGTCTGCTGGACCCACCGCATTATTGTTTTTTTAAATCAGTACAACCATAACAATTTATGTAAAAATACCACATGTTTAAAATATCACAAGTGGCCAGCGTAGGGTTCTCCTTTAGCAGCTGTAGCCCATCAGCAGCCTGTCCATGTTGTCCACCCTCACACACACACAAATACAAACACATACACACACAGACACACACACACTAACAGCAGGCCTTGTAGGAGGAAAACAGAATGAAGGACACAGCACCTCCACACTTTTATTCCCCACAGGTTCACCCAACACCACATGTAGTATAAATGTGTAGAGGGTGAACAGAGTGAAGACACTGAAAATGGGTTAAATGGGTTAAAACTTACACCTGCGTAGGAGGAGGTGTAAATATTTAGTACCTACTAAGCTCAACATTAAAACTAGTTTGAGGTGCAGCTTGTTCTGATTTAGTATTGCGTAAACCTGAACTTAGTAAACACCGATGTTACAACTAGTCTACATTTGAACTTAGCACAACTGGTGCAACCAGCCACAGATTTATCCACTCAGGGAAGGGTTCTGAAGGATGACCGACATTCCAAGACATTTTTCCGCCCGTTGCGTGCAGTTACTCATTTCCAAATCACTAAAACTTACATAGTGCAGCTTTAACAAAAGGTATTTTTCTTACTTGAAAAGTAACATTGAAATTAACCATTAGTCTAAAAAGTGTTCAGGCTTTTGAAATGCAGTGTATGTTTGGGATAATGCAGCGCTGACCAGCTGCCTTAGGGACTGTGCATGGCTTAGCGGCTCTGGTGGAGCAGCTTGATTATCTCCAGGCGTAGCCAAAACACCTCATCTGTGCACCTGTTGAAAGACACTCTGGCTCCTGTCAGAGGCTCTTTCCTGTTCTGAGGTTTGCTAGTATCATCACTGAGGACAAGAAGTCTGATCGGTTTATAGCTTGGTGCCAGGTGCTGTACCCCATACTGCAACATCCATTTTGCCGGTTTACAGTCTTGTGTGAAAGCGTAGGAAAGTGTCGGCCTAACAGTAAAGCGAAGCCGCAATAACAACTCATCTAGGCCAGAAAACACCTCACCAAACAAAGGAAAACCTCTGAGGGCTTCACGTGATTGGACCAGATCATCCGAATGGCTCGCCACAAGCTTGGAGCATGAACAGGAAACTCTGAATGGAAAATTAGCAACATAACAGATTTCCTCACTCTGTTTTCCTGGCATAACTGTGACTCCCTCTTCCTCTCTGATGAGGAGTTTACATGCTCCCCCACACCAGGACAGCTGAATATTGGCCATCAGTGTGTGCACTGAGAGCAGTTTACTGTGGCACCCTGAGAGTGGATCAGCATTACGTTTAATGATGAATGCTTTGTAGATGCTCACTTTGTCCTTAACTGCTTAAATAGTGAGGACGTGCTGGCAGGTCCAGACTTTTATTACACACTTCTGTGACTTCAGAACGATGCAGCTGGTTTGCATTGTAGTCAATTTACTTACAGAATAATAGACCTTCAGATGTAATAAGGCTGGGGATTAATACACATTAATACACATTTAAATATCTGCTATATTCAACTTGACTTTTCTCTGAAATACTCTAACCCTTAACCAAAGCCTTTAATATTGTTTTTTTAGTCTATTCATATACAATTACAGTTAATTAGTTACATGGTTAGTTATACAACGAATTACATTTACAGTAATATGCAAAAATGTTAACACCCCTAAATTTATGTAATATATTTTCTAAGTGAAAATAAGTTAACACACCCTCTATAGAGAACAAAATTAATACTTTAAATTTAAAAATAAAACTTTTTCAGAAACTTTTAGTGTACAATTTCTAATTATTTGCCAAGTTTAACATATTGGAAAAATAATTCCTTTTTCATTTTGTTAAAAAAAGTCAAAAAATGTCAAAAAAACACAATTTCTTTCCCAAATCAAGACTATATGCACATCAGTTACTTTTCAATTCAGATTGCTCAAATAAAAAAGCTCCTCTAACACTTACAAACACACACTGATTGAAAATAGAATGTGCACTTTCCACAGAGCTTCCCCAGTTGTTGACCCTAAAAGGAGAATTCCACCAATTGTTCAAAATTTCTTCATAATTTTATAAATGTGAGATGTAATCAAAGTTACGTAAACTAAGAGAAACTCTCAAACTCAGATTTGGGGTCTATTTTGTCTTACAACATGGTTTTACAACGTTTTGGCCTAAAATCATTGTAAAGCGTGTTTCAGGCGTCAGGCAACATATTTCTAACTATTTAAACTTAAAAAATATAACTTCCAAGAGGCATTAAAACTCTTCCGACGTCTGGTTCCTATCACCACCACTGTGAACAGTTCTGACTCAGTAGAGCGTTTCAGATCAGACCACTCTGAATGACTTTCAACATCTTAACGGTTAAAATTTACAGAAATATAATAACCTGATATTAACAATCAACAGCGAGTTTAACAACCTGAGCATCTGCAGATACAGTGCTGTAGGTGATCTTCAAAATACGGTGTGACTGAAATAGTGTTCTTTTTTTTCCAGAGTGTCAGATTTGGTCAGGACGGTCACTAAAACAGAGCTTCCAGCTCAGCAGCAGATGCTGGAGATCATTCCCTCCTTCGCTGAGGATGAGGACTGTGAGAAGGTCCCACCGATCAGATACCTCTTCAGATGAGGTGATGAAGACACAGCCAGTGATTTTTAACAGTGATTTTTTATTATAAAGTACTAATGAAGGAAACTATATATGAATATCTGTCTCTTTGATCAAATGCCGTTCTTCTATCACTGAACTCTAGAATTCCTGTCTGTTTTAATCAAAAAATGAATCAAGATCAATGTTCACATAAGGGGTTTTACTGGATCATGTAAAAAAAATCATCTCACTCAGTGTTTTTCCCATTAAAAACTAAATAAAGTGATTTTAATGATACGATGTATAAAAGACTATGTGGTATTTGCACTAAGACCACTGACCAGTAGCACACACTGTGACACCACCAGAGCTGCCTTGGAGCTATTCAGCCCAGCCCTTTGTTATGCAGCCCTCAACACACGCCTCTATCAGTCTGCCACACTAAGACATTGTAAAGACAATGCAGATCAGTTGACATGGACCCTAAACCTGTCTAATCCATTTTATTCAGAGCCTTTTTATTCACTTCATCCATTGTTAGGGCACACATGTTGTATTTCTGCATAATATATTGAGAACTGAAACCTTTTGTTAGATCCTCTGTTGGGGATGGCTGGAAATTGGCCTACAGTTCCTTCAGGATCAAGCTTTTTTTAACTGCCACATACCAGAAGCTTCTCTTGATGCAGATATCAGCTTAAATTCCAATAAAAATATTATAATAACAATAATAATAATAATGATAATAATAATAATAATATATTACTGTTGTTGGAACAAAACATTGTATCTCCATTTTTGTTGTTTTTCTGTTTTTGACATAATTTGAAAATGCCTGTTGCCCTTTACACTGTGTGTGAAATTCGTGACGAATGGACCAAAAGAAATGACCCAAAATGACTTGTAAAAAAGTCTGGTTCCATTCCATTAAAAGTAAAGTATATTTTTCCTTCTCCTGTAAAGTTACCATTTTGGAGATACGAGGTTTTGTTCCGACAGCAGTGATATATAAAATACACAAGAAACAAATTAGTCTACAGATGCATGCAGTGGATCTTATATGTGATTACAGGTTAAGCTGTATACTATATAAAGTATGTGCAATATCTAGAGTTATAGACAGTATATATTATACACATTTGCAGTCCATTAAAGCGAAATGCCACAATTACGAGTTGTTGCACAATTTAGTCAATAAGATGAAGTCATTCAGAATGATTTGATGTAAAATGGTTCATTGTAGAGAAACTTATCGACTTTCTTTACAGTGATGCTGATAGGAACCAGGGGTCACAGTGTCTACACCACAGATTTTATTTTATTTACTATTCAAAACCACCAGTGGACCTACACGTGTCTTCTGAGGTTTTATATGTAATGTTGATGATGGTAAAATTAATTAATTAATGTCATGAAGAGGTATTTAAAAATGTTTTAGGCCAAAAACAATATCAAAAAAATGTCTCAGGCATCAGGCAGCATATTCATAACCGTTTCTTGTAATAACTTTCTGAGAGGGAGCTTTTATAAGCATTCAGACGTCTGGTTCCACTGTGAACAATTCTGAGTTGGTCAGTTTCTCTAGAGCAGATAAAGTTCTTTAGAGAAGCAGAAGTGGTTCTTCTGTAGTGTCGCACCAAAGAACCCTTTTTGGCACCTGTATTTTAAAGAGTGTAGTTTTGAGACGGCTGCTCATCCAGGCAATCAGCTGCATCAACAGCTCCATTAACTACCAATAAATCGCTGATGTCGGAAGAAAACCTTGTATCTCCATTTTTGTCATTTTTGACATAAAGATAGATAAATAGATAGAGAGATAGAGAGAAAGAAATGCCTATTGGCCTTTACATTGTGTGTAAATTTCATGATGAATGGACCAGAAGAAACGGCCCAAAATGCCTTGGAAAAAGTCTGATTCCATTGACTTACATTAAAAGTAAAGACGGTTTTTCCTTCTCCTGTAAGGTTGTCATTTTGGAGATACCTGGTTTTCTTCCGACAGCAGCGAAATACAAAATGCAGGACTGTAAACTGGATTCAAGGCCTCTGCTTTGTATTACAGCAGATGCCTGACTCAGAAGGCAGACTGTCATACGCCAACTAAAAACTATTTTAGCAAACATCTGTTCAGCCTTTTCAGTGTGCGCTGGACCATTCACTCAGGCCAGAGGACGAGGATTAGAAGAGTTGGTGCGGTAGCGGTCAGTTAACCTCAAACTTCTAAAAGAAGAGCTGCACATGAGGGTCAGTGTTTCGAGAAGAAGCATGTATGCTTGCATTTAATGGATAGTCTAAGGCTGAGGTTGAGTTTTTAGGAAAAGTTCAAGCTCTCCTTTTTACCATCTGGTCCTAAAGGTCTGATCTAATAACGCTCCCCCCTTCTAAAACACACAATGACCTTCTGGGGAGTCGAGCAGATCAAAATGCTCCACTGCAGGCGTCTCCGATGAGGTGTTGACAAGACCATCCTCCTCATCCTCAAACACAAACATCACCGCAGGGCTCCCCTCTTCCTTTGAGAGTAGTAGCCACTGCCGAGATGACAGGAGCGCTGTGTTGATCTTCTTAGCGCGCAGCTGCAGTTACAGCAGTGAAACTGTCACAGTTGGTGTGGCAGCTGTTGTTTAGTTATCAAGACCTGGTTTTAATTAATTTGAAACTGGCAGTTTTTAAATATAGGCATTAATAATACTATCAGGTATTATTCTACACATGATCGTGTTAGTATCTGGATAATGAGGCTCTTATTATTGTCCAGTTGTATTGCTGTGATGCCAGTAGTAGGAAGTAAAGCAAACACATGAAAATAATACATTGTGTCCTGCCTGCAACTTTACTTATGTTTACTTCTGTGCATTGTCACAAGTTGGCGATCACCATAATCATCATATTGGCTAAAATAATAATCCTAGTATCAAAACAGCTTTGTAATCTGAGCAATTTCAGTGGTACTGATACAGCACTGATGATCTTACTGTGCATTATCTTAGTTGAGGGACGATATCTCATAAACATAACTTTAATGACTAATAACTCAATCCCAGTCTTGTTATATACTACGGTTTATTATTCAGTAATTACAGGGACTTCAATGCGAACTGGCTGCGCTATTCTTAGGTTACAGAAGTGTGTAATAAAACTTTGGGTGGCTGGTGGGCCCTGGCCATTTAAGGGTTAATGACTCAATTCAGCTCTATTCATCATTAATCTTAATGGCAATATGACATGAAACAGAAGGGAGGGTCTCTGAGTGAAACATTGCTAGTTAATATTGTTTTTTTAATACTGTCCGCTGGTGCACTGTGATGTAATCCAAATTCTAGATGAACTAGAATTTTGTCTTTTAATTTATATGATAAATCATGCTTAATAACCCAGGGACACAAACTAACATGGTAAATAAGGTCTTGTTTTCAGATTTCAGGTTGACTTTACAACATAATTCTGTAACTACCACACAGGCATATGCAAAAGTTTGAACACCCCCAGTCAAATTCCATGGCTCACTGATTTATATCTTCTACAAAGCACACACACTTTTAGTGCACAATTTGTTCATGCAAATAAACAATAATTGTGCATTAAAATGTGCAAAGTGTGTTCTTTATAGAGGAACTTAGAAAATGAACTAACTTTAATATAATTTGATGAGGGGTGCCCAAACTTTTGCTGTAAATTCTGAAATTCTAATGAAACTAAAGTGCTTAAGGAACTTCGACACTGAGGAACATCTGGATCCACACTTGTCCTTCAGAGTTAACAACTACTTGCGCAATTTGAAATAAAAATGTCAACAATTCTTTGTAAACATTTCCAAAAGCTTTTATTTCACTGTACGCCTTATTTACACATAAGCTTAAAAATATAAAAATAATTCTGTGAATTATTATCCAGTCTTTAAGTCCACCACCGTTGCCAATATGGCAATGGCTCAGATGTACCCAATGATGTCACTGCATATTATGGGCTGTCGACTGCCGGTCTTCATGAGGGCGCTGAACTGGTAGAAGTCCGTGTCCAGCTGGTGCAGGCCGGTGTGTGATTGGTGGAAGAAGGGTTTCGGAGTCTGAAACCCTACAGGACACGACATCCGTTTCGCGCATGTCTCCGCCGACTTCCCTCGTCCTTCCATTCCCTTTGACCTGCCAGCTAGTTTCCGCCTCATATTGACCAGGAAGTCTTTGGCTAGTTTGCGACTCGGGTTGGGCTTTAACTCGGCCGAGTCGGGACACTCCGGAAGGTCCATCCAGTTTTTTATGAGGTCCGCAAAGCTGTTGTCCCCCAGCACCAGTGGTTGTCTGTTGCGCCCTCTGGTCAGCAGAGATGTGGTCCAATCTTCTGGCTCGCTGGCTTCAAAAGAAGTCCAGCGCTCCAGGCAAGCATCCGAGGTGGATTTGGGCCGGACGCGGTTGGTGCGGACGCAGGCTGAGGACGATACTCTGACATTTCTGGTCCTCCGCAGCACCACGCCCTCGTCCTGCCACGATGCTTCAGAATATCCCGAATCAAAGTCCAGACTTTTCTCGCTGCAGGGGGAGCCACGGGGCAGACGGCCAATGCCGTCTTCCTCATCCTCTTCTTCCTCCAGTGGACTGGCCAGACAGCAGGCCGAGTCGTAGGTGCTGCCGTCGCTGGACTGGGAAATCTGCAGACGGCTCAGGTGCTCTCGCTGCTTCTCTCTGCGGTGGCAGGCTCGGGTCACTGCGTAGGAGCGTTTCGGGGGCTCAACAGGCTCCCGTATCTGCTTCAGGTCCTGCAGGGAGCGCATCATGTAGCGCATCTGGTCCCGGAAGCAGTCGCCTGAATCTCGCACGCACAACTAAGGGCAAAATAGAAAAAGAGCGGTTAGAACTTAGACGTAGCCAATGAGTTTGTGCAAACACAGCTATAGACACAGTGCAAAAACTCGATGTGAAAACACCCTAAATCAGATCAATATATCTAATATGTCTCATTTTGAGGTGGTTGCAAAAATTATGATTATTCAACTTATTTCTGGACATTTTTTACTTGTTTTAAGTCAATTTGTCAAGTGAAATTCCATTATTTCATAGGCAGATAAGTTTGTTTTAAGCATTTCTTTCTCAAACAAGCAAAACTGTGCCAACGGAATACAACACTTTCACTACTTAAACTGACTTAAAATATGTAACTAAGTTATGTAACAAGGTAAATAATCTATATCCTTATTTACATCCTAACAACATTCTAAAATTGAGAAATATTAGACATATGAAGACGATTTAAGATGATTTCACTTGAAAATGCAGCTATTTCTGCATGGAGACAAAATGAGC